CCGCCAGGCCCCGCGCCGCCCAGGCCGCCGCCACTGCCAAAGCCCTCGGACCGGAACCCATACCCGCCCGCCGCCGCGCCGGTCTGCGGCCACGCGGCCGCGGCGGCCCCGGCGCCGCCCCTGGCGCCGCCCGCCGCCCCGGCGCCTGCGCCCGCGCCTGGCTCTGCGCCGCCCAGCACTGCAGGGTCGAGCTCAACCGAATACAGCGGCGCCGCCGGCCGCAGCAGCAGCCCCGCCGCGCGCACGGCGGACGCCGGCTGCGGGGCCTGCGCGGGCGCGGGAGAGGGGACGTCGACAAACAGCCCCAGGGGCGGCAGCCGCAGCGGCGGCGGCGGCGGCGCGTTGGGACCGCCTCCGGGGGTTGCCTGCTGCCCAGGCCGGAGCTGCGGCTGGAGCTGCTGCTGCGACGGCTGCTGGCCGGCGGCGGCCGCTGCTGCTGGATGTGATTGGGGGCTGAGGCCGCCGGCCGCAGCTTGAGGCCTGAGTGCGCTGGCTAAGTGCTCCTCGTCTGAAGATGAACAGGCGCGAGTTTGATGAGCGATAACGCCGACGCGCAGGCGCAGAGGCGGCGTTGGGAACGACGGGGAGTGACGTCAGCGTGCGTGGGTGCGGCAGGATGGGCGGCGGCGTCATAGGTGCGATGAAACAAGTTGTCGACACAACGGGATGAGTGGGGACGTGGTTGCTGCTGCCGGCCCCCGGCCCAGGGGTGGCAAGGCATCCCCCCCCCCTTCCTTGACGGCCACTACACAGGCACAGAGTGGCATGAGACTATCTTATTAAATCCCGACCGACAAATCAAACCGTGATCGTTCGCAAGCAACGACCGCAATCACACTCCATGAACCACAACAGCAACCCAGTCCAAGGCACGTGGTGCGCACCCAACCTACCGTTCAGCACGATGGGGACCCCCGCCAGCTGGGGCAGCACCATGCCCCGCAGCTGGGTGTACACGTCAGCAGGGGGCAGCGCGGCCGCAGCCGCAGCCACGAAGCCGACGGCGGCCTGGCGCACGGCGGCTTTGGAGTGCCGCAGCAGGGGGACGATCTGGACAGCAGGGCATAGGCGGGCGTTTGCGCAGTTTGGTCGTGCCGGGCATAGCCAAGACTGTGAGAACGCGAGGCGCAGCGGTCGCTCCTTGGCAGCTGGATGCAGCTGACTTGGCTGCTGCTGCTGCATCCAGCGCACGACCACAGCCGAGGATGCGCTTGACCAGCACAGGTGTTTTTAGGCGTTGACGTGATCATTGCTGCTCGTGTCATCGCGCCATGGCGTGTGCAAAACTAAGGAGCCCGCACCCAGCCCCCGCCCTCCCGGCCGCCCATACGCTCCCCACACTGCGCCGGAGATTGACAAACGGATGCGAAACACATCAGAAAGCGACCAAGCGGGCGCCGGCCAGCAGGAGCGCACCTTTCTGGCAGCTGCGAGGAGGTTGCGCTTCCTGAGGTGGCCGGCCACCGCCGCCACGCAGCCCACCGCGTCCGCCACCACTGCCGCCTCGGGGTCCACCAGGGCCTGTGGGGGTTGGGGTTTGGTGGGTGGGGGTTGCGGCCGGGGGTTGGGTTTGGGGTTTACCGGGTGGGTTTGGGGGTTGGAGGTTGGTGGATGGGTTAGGGGTAGCGATGGTGCAGGTAAGGGTGGGAACTGGTAGCATGAACGTGTTATGTTGTTTTCAATGGGCGCGACCGCATGAGCGCGTGTTGAGGGTCAAAGGCGGCGCAGGGGACAGGGGATGCTGGCCGTGGAGCAGGGAGCGCGGCGGCTTTGCGCACGTTCCTCAGAAAGGGGCGTCGATGCGCATCGTTGTGCCCTGAACCCTAAACCCTAAACCCTAGGGTAGAATGAGTGCATCCAGCAAAAGCTGGCCGGAGCACAGCGCCGGTCACAGCCCCCGCCCCCCACCCCGGCCCCGGTCCAGGCCCGCCCCCGCACCTGCTCGAGGCAGGGCAGCAGGAACACGTCCAGGCTGCCGCGGCCCCCGCGCGGCCCTATTCCCGCCACCGCCCCGAAGAACGCGCCCCGCAGCTGCCAGCTGCCCGCGTTTAGGCACGTGATCAGCAGCGGCAGCAGCACGCCGTTGACGTCGCGGCGGCCGAAGAACGCGGCGAGGCCGGGGGAGTGGGACAGCAGGGCGCGCTTGATGTCGGGGGTGGAGCGGGCGCCAGTGATGAGGTCGAGCACGACGCGCTCCACGGCGCCGCGGACGGCGGCCACCTCGGCGTCGTATCTTTTTGGGGGTTCAGGGTTCAGGATTTGGGGGTGGGGGTCGTGGACGACGGATTGAGAATCAGTGTTTGGGACTGGGGGTTGCAAGCGGGTTTCGGGATCAAGCGTGAGGGATGTGGGGTGCAGGTTTCGGAGGTGGGTGCAAGTGGGATATGAGTGGAAGGGGTCGGGGGTGGGTGGAGAGGTTTGCGATGGGAGTCAGTCCGCGAAGCAGGGAGAGGGGTGGGCGCATGAGAGGAAAGGTGGGGACGGGTGAGGGGGCCTGGGCCTGGGCCTGGGCCTGGGTCGTCGAGAGCAACTCAGATGAGCAATACCAACCCTCCACCTCCCAACACCCAACTCGGCCCTTGCAGGCACGAGGGGCCTCATCGACCCTGCATCCACATCACTATAATATAACCGACACTCACGCCCACACACACCCCAGCCAAGCCCCTCAACCCACCTGACTGGCGCCGGATCACCCCGAGCCGCCGCGGTCGCCACCACCTGCCCC